CTATGACCATATGTTATCAGTACCTGCAGGCTTGCCCATACCTTACTGGCTAAGGTAAGGAACAAAAAGTTTTCACACAAATAATAAATGTTTTTAACACTTCATGCATAAATGAGAGGAGAAATTTCCATTGAATAACATTTTGGAGCCCCCGAATCATTTTTTAGCATAAAATTCAGGGTTCCTAAGAAACAACCCAACTACTGGTGGCTAAACTATATTTGTCCTCATGCCTCAGAGTCTCAGAGCACAATGTTTTATTTATGGGAACGCTATATAAAACTTGGAAAATTGAACAAAAACAAACAGATATGGTTTGCTTTTCCAGTCATGAGAGTTCAAAACTCACCCATCCATGTGCTCACGGAACCTTCGAAAACAAAACCGGGGCAATCGCGGGAGGCAGGTGGCATGGGCCATCACATGCCTCTTCTGAGCCATCACACTGTTTTCTTGTGCCTGCCACGGTTAGAAAGAGCTCCAGGTTCCGCGGGAGGTGTCCCGAGGGGGTGGGAATAGGGTTCCTAAGCCCCGAGTCTCTAAACCATGAAACTTGGAACATCTGGAAACGCTGAGCTGTGCTGAAGACCGACGTGGAGAGGTCGAGGAGGCCGGTACAAAGTCTCTGCCAACCGGTTTGGCTCTCGGAAGAGCTATCTCTCCATCGATCTACTCGTGGGAGCCGCTGGACAAACCTCGGACTCCAGGACTTGGGCCAGAGCGAGCATTTCCTCCAGGGACTGTGCTCAGGCTTCTAGGAGACCTGGAAAGGCGGGACCTGCTCACGAGGCCAAAGGGGTCGCGGCTTCCCCCAGCCTCAGAGCAGTTACTCCCGTGAGGGTCCTGGCTGGGAGCGAAGGGCCACCTGCAAATCTCTTGGCGAGGATGGAACCAGGGCCAGCCAGCCACACATGACACAGGGGAACAAACCTGAGCATCAAGCACAAGTGTCTCCCATGTGAGCATCCTCTCCCTCCTCCGCCTTTAAGATTTAGGGAGTCACAGCTGACCTAGCAGACACATGTGGGCTGTGGGAAAGGCAAGAACACTTTATCCTCCACACGGACCTCCCCACGCTTCTGAAATAAGTTGGCTTTTTCCTACGAGAACTGCATTCCCAGTTCAAGACCAGCAACAGCACACGACGTAAGTACAAACACGCCTCGTTTTATTGTCCTTGGCTTTGCTGCGCTTCACAGATGTTGTGTTTTTTGCAAACTGTAGGCAAGGCCCTCAACCAGCAGAAGGATTAGGGCCTGATTTACTGTGAGACCCGCCTCACTGCGGCGTCCGGAGCCAAGCCCGCCCTCGGCACCTCCACGTCCAGCTGGGCAAGAGCTGAGCCATGAGGAAGCGCTCTGGACGCCAGGCTCGGTCCATCCTCCCCCACAAACACTCCACAAGGCCCGGCTTCAAAGCGATTAGATGAGAGGTTCAGGTTTCCTTATAGCTCTAACGCTGTCTTTCCCGGATCCCGTAGTGGGGCCTCACTGGGGCTTGAGGCAGCCTCGGGGGCCGCGGGGCCTGGCTGGGGCCCACAGCCGCAGGCAGATCGATTCCCGTTTCAATCCAAACGACCCAGGGCAGTGTCCCAACCGAAACAGCTGAGACGCCGCAAGGCCACTGGGCGGTCAGCGCAGAAATCGCCTCTCACGTTCTCCCAGGAAACATGGAGGGCCTTCTGCTAAAAGGAATCTGAGAATTCCAACCGAAATTCATCAGAACCGACTTCTGAAGCTCCCTCTCGAGGAGCTGGGAAAAGCCCCCTCCCCCCAGGCTGGGAGGAAACGTCAGAGGCCCCACGCGGTCCCCACGCAGAGCCCTGGGGGGCCCCAGTCTGCGGAGTGTGGGTGACAGCGTGTGGGCTCAGGGAACACATGTCACAGTGACAGTCATGTCTTCCTGGGGCCATAATCCCCCAATAGGCCCGAGAAGCACTGCCCTCCAAGGAGACCCTGTCACAGCGGCTTCCTCCTTCCTGTCCGCTTCCGGGGACCCTCAGCCACGGAGGCTGCACGCCGCTCCCTCCCTCTCGATCCCCTGGGTCAGTGGTCGGCAAACTCATTAGTCAACAGAGCCAAATATCAACAAGACAACGATTGAAATTTCTTTTGAAAGCCAAATTTTTTAAACTTAAACTATATAGGTAGGTACATTGTTATTAACTTAATTAAGGTACTCCTAAGGCTTAGGAAGAGCCACATTCAAGGGGCCAAAGTTTGCCGACCATGGCCCTGGGTCTCGGGATTGACACTCCCCCCCAGCCCCCTTCCCCCGTCTCCCGCCCCCACAAGGACTGCACAGCCTTCCAGAGGGTGTTGATCACTCTCAGCTCACGCGGCTGTGTCCCCCTCCCCCCCAAGTGTTGGTCACGTGTCCCCTCCCCCCAAAGTGCTGGTCCCCTCCCATGGCTGCTTCCTGTGCACAAATGACCGTGTGACAAAACCCTTCCCCCTGAAAGGGGCGGTTGTCGCACCAATCTCATCATTTCAGATCCAATGAGACTCTATTTTAAACTCTAAAAACTAATATAATTTAGATGCTTAACGTATTTTTAAATGTTTCTCATGACTGTTATTGGCCTGGGAAACAGCCCCGGGTTCGACTGGAAAGACCTGTCAGGAACGACCCAGCTCAGCAGGGTCAGTGGAGACGTTGCCCCCTCACACGCGTGGAAACCAGGATTACAGAGGACACGTGACTTGTGAGCAGAGCTCGGACTTTGGACACCGCGTCTGGTCACCCACAAGCCAGGCCTCCCGTGGCACAGGAGGGGACACAGCTCCCGCTGTGAATGGCGCGAGTTACCTGAATAAACGCTCATGAAACTTCTTTCACCGTCACTGTTTACATGTTGTATCTACATGGAAGACTACCCTGTGGAAGTTTACATTATACAGCCCATGACCTCGCCTAGGGCCTCAGCCACAGGTAAGTCCCAGGTATGCACAGGGCCCTGGGCTCTGGAAGCTGTGCCCCGGGGGGTGCACACACCCGGACAGGTGCCCCGCGTGGGAACAGGGCTGGGCGACCAGAGGGTCCACAGAGGCTCCGAGCTCAGTCTGCCCTGCAGCACAGGCCCGTCTGTGTGTGACCTCCGCAGAGTGAGGGACCGTCTGGAATTTGAATCAGGAGACTGCGGAGACCAACACCTGGAAGGACGTTTGGGGGCCATTCCCGCAGCGTGTGCGGTCCGGCCTGACCCCGACCAGAGGGCAGGCTCCAATGAGGCCGCAGGTGTGATGGCCATCGAGACCGGATCTCACCTCATCAGCTTCTCCCTAAAAAGTTAAGTTTGTTTGTTGCATCCTGCTGGGACCACAGGGGTAGAAAGAGAGAACGCTGCAGACTGATGTTTCCAGCGGCTCCCACACCAGATTCACTTTTGAGAAAGACGTGTCCCAAAATAGTCCCCAGTGATCAGCACCCACCTGTTAGAACCAAACCTCACACGGCTGGCAGGACCCGGGGCCAGGGTGGCTCCCGACGACGGCCAAGCACAGTCCCAGGGAGACCTGCCCCGAAAAGGCAGCAACGAGCAGCCGGAGGGCGGCGGGCACACAGGTCTCTCGCTCAGGGAAGTCCAGGGCTGTCTGCTTAGCTGGGGCCAGGTACGCAGTCCCAGGACCCCCCAGGCTGAGCAGAGACACAGGAAATTAAAACAATCGCTTTCTTCTCTGCTTCCTTCTCTTATATAATTGCAAAGCGGAAAAGTGAAAGTTCACAGAAAAAAGTTAGGATTCCTGTTATGCAAAGGCCTGTACATTCCTTTTTCTTTCTTTTAAACAATTTAATCAAACTTTTAAAATGCTCATGGTATGGAATTCAAAAGGCACAAAGCAGTGTGATAACAAGCACCCCTCACCCCACGACCACACCATCCACGGGCTCCGCCCACATCCACGGGACTGGGTGCTGTGTCTTTCGCTTTCTTCAAGTCCAACGACAGCATCATGCGTGCTGTGCCCCAACCTACACAATGTGAACCGGTGTGTCCCACCTACGTTCGACCGAGACATTTAAATGTTTTCGTTCTCAGAGGTCTCCTGCTCAGGCTCCTGGACAGGACGGAGCTGGGACCCCGCCTGCCTTTGATTAAAGCTCGGCCCCTTGCTCCGTGCCCTTGGAGAGCAACCTCTTCGGGTGTTTGAGGTGCCAAGCCCAGCCTGAAGCAGAACCCCACATGCTCACCACCCCCGTAGGGAGCACGTGCTGTGTGACTGCAGGTGTCCGGAGCCGAGGGAGCGGGGCGCCTGCAGTGCGGTCACGCCCAGCGGCTGTCAGGGCGGCTGGCCTTGCTCTGGCCCCGGGTGGCTGTTTACATCGGGTGCTTTTCCTGTCACTTGCTAAGCCACTGCGGGAAGATGAAGAATTCGAGTGCGGTGGTGCCTGAGTAATTTGGCCAGACGCCAGGCCAGTGGCCAGTGGTCTGCAGGCAGAGCTGGTCTGGAATTCTGCCTTTATTTGGGAACCAGGGAAGGAAGGAAGTGAGCACAGAAGGCCCGTGGAAGCTGAGAAGGTCCTTCGTGATGAAAAACTCAAACGCATTTTTCAGTGGAATTGGGCTGGCGAAGGGCGTCCTGCCTCGCTGAGTCCCGGGGTCCTGAGTCCCACGGGGTCCTGGTCCGGCGGCCACTCGCGCAGACGTCCCGTGTGCTGAGAGGAGGCTCGGGGGCCGGGCTTGTCTGACCAGCGTTCCCTAAACATGGGCATATAAGGGAGCCAGACGCGGCGCCGTCCCCCACCGGCTCCCCCTCGACGGCGGTTTACACTGGCCCCGTCACGGGAGTAAACAGGTCCTCACGCTGTCCTGTCACTGGTGCTCCGTGTTTAAAAGGGGGGACGCTTTCATCTGAGAATCAGTGTTTTACTTCTGCTCCTTTAAACAGGCTCTGTTTTTGGCCGAGAGCAGACTTGCAGGCATCTGGTGGTTGTTCCATTCAGAAATCAATGCAAAAATTAGGGTTTTCCCCTCAAATCATCATTATTACAGCCATGACTTATGCATAAGCGTTGGCCCACGGACCGAAGGGCCTCGGGTTCAATTCCAGGTCAAGGGCATGTACCTGAGTCGGGCGCGTGCAGGAGACAACCAATCGCTGTGTCTCTCACATCAAAGTTTCTCTCCCCTCCTCCCTCCTTCCACTCTCTCTAGAAATCAGTGGAAAAAATATCCTCGGGTGAGGATTAAAATAAATCAACTGGAAGGTTTACCCTTTGTTTTTTAAGCCGATAAACGGCCACAGGAGGCCTGGGTCCTGGGTGAGAAGCAGGACGACAGAACCTTTGCCCCCACTCAGTTCAGGTGGCGACTACGATGCTGCTGCTCCGACTCCCACGTCCACACGCAGCTTCAGCTCCCACTCGACACGGAGGCACGGCCGCCACGTGAGGCGCCACGGAGGGCGGGCGGCGTGGGCACCTGGGCGGGAGCCCCGCACGGAACACGGAGGTCCCTGCCTGCCTCCCTCCCTCCATCCCTCCCTCCCTCTCACCGCACCATCCGGTAGGTGGGGGCGGCCCAGGGTCAGGAGGGGGTCAGCACTCACAGGCCAGCCCCCACACCCAGCCGCCTGCGGGCTGACGGCAGCTCTGATTTCTATTCCATCTCAGTCAAGGTGTCAGTTAGCCCGAAGCCTCCATCTCCTGGCTGCGTGGGTGGGCAGCTCTGACTCTAGGACAGAAAGCAATTCCGTTGAAAAGTGAAAAATGCCCCGTACTTGGGTGAACGGTGAGTCACCACACTACCCCGCTGGGCACATGAATGGGCCCAGATCTTCCTCCTCATCTCCTTCTCATTTCACATCTGAGGGCACAGAGGCCAACGGGGCCAGTCTCTCACCTGGGCAGCGGGGAGCAAAGGCCTCTGGGTGTGGCGACCTGCTGCTCCCTCGCCGCCGGGCCCCCCCTGCAGGACGCTGACCTGACCCGGCTCACTGCACTGCTTCCCTGTTCACTGCTCAGGAATTAACTTTTCTTTCCGTTTCAGCCAGATGGACCGAGACGGTGGGTTGGGAAGATCCGGGATTTTCTCAGCCGGCCTCGGTTCTGTTTCCCACGAAGCCCTCAGACCGGGTGGGCGGGAGACGCCACTGCCGGCACCGGCCACCCCCTCGCAGCCAGGGTCGGAACTCTGCGGGGACCATCAGGAGCACGGGCCCAGCTTCGATGTCTCGCATTTATTCAGCATTGATGAGCCCGCTGTCTGGTCCCAGGACAAACATAAAAACGGGGGCATATAGCGTCCTTGTGCTGGACGTCTCAATCGAGGGGACACTTCCCGGGAATATCAGCTGCTATGTTGGCTAATTGGGCCCTTTTAAATAGTCGAGCTGGATAACAGTGATGACTCGACTGAAGAAGCTCTTTATGTCAGGATGTAAATGCCACCTGTGCACGTGGTTTGTTTGATTTGAAAAGAACTAGAAGCTTTTACCTTCCAATTCCCCGCCTTCAGAATGCGTCCAGGCTTTGAGTCAGTCACTCACAAACCTTTATGAGTGTCCACCACGTCTCCAATACCCAGCTAAACGTGGGTCCTTTAAGGAAAACAAAGCGTATGTTCTTGCGAGAAGCACTGGCGGGCTCTTCCGACTTCGCGCTTCATCGCAGGCTCCCATCCCACCACCAGGTGCCACTCCCGCGGGTGGACCAGAAGGCGGGGGGGTCCCGTGGATGAGCCGGAACGTGTGTGAACCGCCCACTGCAGACGAGTGTTCCCCGAGGTAGAAGCGGAGCCTCCGCCTTCCCAGGTGACGGTCGTCCTTTGGCTACTTGGTCCAGAGGCTTATACTAAAGTTCACTTTTGAAGATGTTGGATGACCTCGATCTTATGTGCAGAAATGATTCTTTTCTTTGTTTCTCCTTCCTCATTGCAAACATGTTCTTTTCCCAGAGCCCAAGGGGCAAATCGAGTCAGGGGGAAACAAACGCACTTGGAAAAGGGCTAAACTGCAAACCTCGGCGTCAGGCACAGCCCCCAGGACAGCGTACGAGGGGCTGCATGGTGGGCGAAGGGGCTGAGGGACTCGGCCGGGACGGAGGGGAGCCAGGGGCCACCGCTGGCCGGGCAGCAGCGTGGGTGGGCTGCGGACGGAGCCTCATGTGCTTTCAATTTGGGGAACAGAAATGCCCGCGAAGGCCGTAAATACACGTGGCCTTGACCCCTGGCGCAGCGTAGCAGTCTCTGGACACCCTTCATGGAAACAGTTTGTTTAAGAGATTTCGAGGGAGGAACGGGTTGACCTGGTTCCCAACCAGCGAATATCAGCCTGCAGGGGGGTCCCCGGCCTGGTGAGAAGGAGGGGCGTGGGGTCCCGTCCCCTCCTGGGCCTCCGCCAGCACTTTTTCAACTTCTGTGTTTACTGGACTCACTTAGGTGGAGGGTTGTTAGTGGGGGTTTTTGTTGTTTAATGTGTTTTTTAAAATATGTTTTTTATTGCCCTGACTGGTTTGGCTCAGTGGATAGAGCGTCGACCTGCGGACGGAAGGGTCCCAGGTTCAATTCCAGTCAAGGGCAGGTACCTCGGTTGCAGGCATATCCCCAGTAGGGAGTGTGCAGGAGGGAGCTGATCGATGTTTCTCTCTCATCGATGTTTCTAACTCTCTATCCCTCTCCTTCCTCTCTGTAAAATATCAATAAAATACATATTTTTTAAAAATATGTTTTTATTGATTTTTAGAGAGAGAGGAAGGGGAGAGAGAGAAACATCAATGATAAGAGAGAATCATGGATCAGCTGCCTCCTGCATGCCCCCCACTGGGTATTGAGCCCACAACCCCGGCCTGTGCCCTGACCGGTACAGGGGACGATGCTCTAACCATTGAGCGCCCCGGGCAGACTCACAGGATTAGGTTTCGATTCTGCCCCCTTCAAGTCCAGGACCAGATCTCTGCCTCTGGAAGGGCTGTGGCCCCTGAGACAAATGCAAACCACCTTCCGGGGCTCAGAAGGGACAGCAAGCTGATCTCTAGATAAGCAAGAGGTTTTCAATCGAAACCCTAGGCGGAGTAAGCAAGTTGTGCATAAAAGATTCGAGGGAGGGAGAGAGAGAGAGAGAGAGAGAGAGAGAGAGAGAGAGAGAGAGACTACCTCTGTCTCCATTTATGTGAAACGTGTAAAACACTCCCAGGGACTCCTCAAACAAAGTGTTCCTATATGAACACAAATGTGTATGTCTCCATGTTGTTGGTATTATTTAACAAATACAAAAAGAAATACTAAAAATAAATAAAAATAAAATGACAAAAGAAATACTACGTCCTCACGGAGCCTTGGGGACCGAGCACCCACATCGACGCAGGTGACCTCATAGTGAAGCGCCTGTTGAATGAATTTATCCTGATAATTCACCCCAGACCTCACCTGATGGCCTGTGACCCGTCTCAGGAAGACAGCTGTGCAGGGCCAGGGCATTTCTCGTGAACGACACTAAGAAATAAACTAACAAAAAAGCACCAAATGTATCTCAGATTGATTTATTGACCCCCAGTGGGCACTGAGGTCTCCCTACAACCTCTGCTGTGGGCTCACTCACTCCACTCACTCCAGGCGGACAACCCCGGAGCCTGGGCCTGCGTGTGCCCCTGGCCAGGCGCCTCCACGCAGACGCGCTCTCCCTTCCCCGTTCCCGCCGGGTGGAGGCCCCTCCGGGGACTCTGGCTCCAGCTCCCCAAGAACACCGTCATCGCTCAACTCCCCAGGCCTGTTCTCTTTATAGAAGAAGTGTGTGTTTCCATCCAGTGCACAAGTTACTTAAAGGAGTGAACACTGACCAGGATGAGGCACAGTGAGTGGGAGGAGCCCCACCCAGAGCCTGCGTGTGGGCCTGGGCTCTGCTGCCTGGGAGCCTGAACACCGCGTCTGACAACACCGTCAGCAGCCGTCCCCACTCGGAAGAAGCACCCACACGCCGAGTGTGCGGACTGTGAGCCTGAGCAGAAGCCGCGTGGCAGCGGGAGCAGGTGCTCTGGGTGCGGCCCCTGAGGACCTAACCCCCGCGCTCGGACCCTGAGACTCAGGGAGCAAGTCCACGGCTCCATCACCAGCTCAGCAAGGGGGTCAGTTGTCGTTTTTATGAGGAATAACCTAGATGACCATATGCTGGCGAGAGGCAGGTGTCTCACCGATACATGAACGTGGCTGCAGGAGGGACCAGGAAGCCACATGGAGAATTCGTTTCTGCATAAATGACACTGCGGTCAGACAACCCCACTCGGCACGTGCCCGGCGTCCCAGAGCCCTGCTCTCTGCCTCCCCGCTGCACGCAGCTTCGTCTCATGGCTCAGTGTGCGTCTCCGCTGCAGGGAGAGCAGGGGTGTGTGTGGTGGGTCTCATTCAGGGAGGAGGCAAGGAACAGGCTTCGCAGCTGCCGAATCCCTCCTGCGACTGCCAGGCACTCCAGATGTGTCTGCTGCACGGGCTAAATATAGACCGCCCCCAGCCCTTCCCCGCTCTGTGGCCCGGCAGGGGGAGGCCCCATCACCAGGGGGGCGGGGGGTTGGGTGTGGAGAGAGAGAGAGAGAGAGAGAGAGAGAGAGAGAGAGAGGTGTTGGTTACCAGTCCCAGCCCCGGCCCCCAGAAGTCACCCCAGGCTAATTGGTCTCCACCAAGATCAAATCCTTGAGGCCTGGGAGGGCAGTGGCGGGGGGGGCTGGGACCCCAATAGCCCCATGGTTTCACTGTAGTTCACCCATAACTGTAAATAACCATACCATTACGTTCCTGCTCATTCCTAGGACAATGAGTGTGCACATAGCGGTCTCAGCACAGCATCCTCCGCTGCACACTAGCACCCCACATTCCTCTTCCCAACCCCACAGAACCCTCGCCTACACGCTGCTTCCCTAAAACTGCAGGCTTCAGGTGTGAAGTCCTCCCAGAGGGCCGGCGTGTTTCCTCCGTGGGTGGAGAAGAAACAGAACCCGCACCAAGTTGCACTGGGACTCTGAGTCGTGCAGGGCAGACCGAGACCCTGCAGACCTGGCCCAGGGCGCAGGGAGGTTCCCCCAAGGACACACCACCGAGAACACGCTACTGAGAACCAGGAAAACAAGCCCTCAGTCTGAGGCAGCTCATGACCATGAGGCGATGCCCAATGAGTGACGGAGGTGCTGGGCCTAACGAGCTTGAGGCACTGACCTGACTCCCTGCATGTGCACGTGTGTGTGCTATTTACTCATGTGTGTACACCTACTTTACATGCATGCTTTTAACAATAATTATAAGCAGCCACAAAAGCAAAAAGAAAACATGAAAATATTCACCGCACAGTATCCTGAGATGTTAACAGTGTAAACTGACTCACACTCGTGCATTCTCTGCGTGACTGACCACACAGGTGTCAGCAGGAAAGGGCTGTCAGGTTGAGAGGGGAATTGTTCAAGATGGGAGATGTTTCAGGAAACAAGGTTCCACTGTAATTGACCTCCTGCAGAAAAAAATCCAGAAAATATATGGAATGTAGATATATTGGTGTTGTTCCTTGGCATACATGGGTGATCTAACTGCACCTAGACGGGAGATGGGCTTTTTAAGCCAACAGGGGTGCCCTTTAGACAGGATGTGGGGCACAGACATTGCATTCAGCGTCCTGGTGGCCGTCAGAGCAGCCTTGAAGGACAGAGAAGGGTCACCGCACCAAAGGCATTTTCTCAGGTGGATTTTATAACTAAACCAGTTCCAAGGAGGAGCGCAAAGTCCACGCTCCCCGCAAGCCTTTCCTGAGTTTGGCTGCGGCCCAAGCAAACGGAGACACCGAAAAGCCCAGGCCGCGGAGGACCCCAGGCCTTGCCGTGTGAAGGTGCATGGGGAGCGTAGGGCGGGGAACCCAACAGCTTAGAGCCGGTGCTGGCTGTGCGTCTGCGGGAAGACCTGGGTGGGCTGTGTCTCCTTGATCCAGAAGAGACCACGGGCCACAACGCGCAGCTCGTGACTTCTAGGGGGTCCGCTTACACCGGGAGACGGGTCCAGTACTGCCTTCCCCAATGCTTTGTACAGATTCTAGCACATTCCTAGCATACTAGTAACGTATTAATAGTGAAAATATGTAACTGATACAAGTCAAACATTAAACAATATTTCTGTATAGCGATAATGTATTCC